ATATATATATATATATATATAATATAATATAATTTAAAATAATTCATTATTCAATGATTGTAATTCCATTTTACCTTTTACTGGTCATCAGATTATAATTATAATATCTTTAAAGGATATATATTAAAAATAATATTTCATTGAATAACCATTATAAAATAAACCGTTAGCTAATAAAATGTTGCTATAATTTTTATAACTTATGCTTTCAAATTATATTGTTACAAGTCTTTTAACATATACCCATATAATTTATTATATGTAATGAAATTTTATTAAATTCATATTTTATTTTGATGTATCCATCAATTATACATCCTTTAGTATTTTCGTATATTATATAAATAATATATGTTATTGCATAATGTTATTATGTATTTTATTACAACATATTTTTCACCATTGATCGAAACAATGTCCATTTTAACCGCATTTAACTTCGCTTAGAAATGCAAACACTTAAAAGGAAGCAAAAGTGTAATTAATTCCTTCTTATTCTCTCCTTTAGGGTGATCCGAACAATTCTGACTTTGAATGTCTTTTTTCATTATCACATTTCTTCATTCCAACATTTGGGAGCAATAATAGTAAAACAACAATCTGGAAAACTGAAGAATCTGGAACAAAACCAAATGCACTCTTCTTCCAAGAAACGCACAATCACTTGGTTGATCCTAATCATGATTGTACTATACATCCTCTACTCCTCCAATTTTCTTCTCTTAAGCAAGGACAAGCCAGATTGTTCAACCTTCAAGAAATTAGATGCCACCACCGAAGAACAACTTGAGATGAGTGGTAATACATCTTCAACAACAGATACAATTGAAGGAACAATTGTTGAAGAGGATAAAACAATAGAGGATAAAAAAGAAAAGGAGGATGAGGATCAAGAAGATGAAAAAGAACTACCCCTTGATCAATTATCTCAAAGACAAGACACAAAGCTTGAACACATTGTTTTTGGGATAGCCGCTTCATCCAATTTGTGGGACATAAGAAAAGAATATATTAAGGTATGGTGGAAGCCAAACCAAACTAGAGGCGTGGTGTGGTTAGATAGCAAAGTGAGGTCTGAAGCAAACGAAGGTTTACCAGAGATTCGGATTTCTGGGGACACCACTAAGTTTAAGTATACAAATAGACAAGGGCAAAGATCAGCTTTGAGGATTTCAAGGGTGGTGACAGAGACAATGAAGCTTGGGATGAAGGATGTGAGATGGTTCATGATGGGAGATGATGACACGGTATTTGTTGTGGATAATTTGGTTAGGATTCTTTCTAAGTACGACCACACTCAGTTCTTTTATGTTGGGAGCTCATCTGAGAGCCATGTTCAAAACATACATTTCTCATATGCTATGGCATATGGTGGTGGAGGATTTGCTATAAGCTACCCACTAGCCAAGGAGCTTGCCAAGATGCAAGATCGTTGCATGCAAAGATATCCAGGATTATATGGTAGTGATGATAGAATGCAAGCTTGTATGGCAGAACTAGGGGTTCCATTATCCAAGGAACCAGGGTTTCACCAGGTAATTAGTTATTTAACTCTATGAAAGTATTTGGTATGGAAAAATTCTTACTTTCTAAAGAATGTAATGTCGAGAATTAGTGTGAGTTTTCTGTGTTTAGTTTATTATTTTAAAAAATAACATTTTTATGAAGTATTATTTTTTGAGAATGATTTTTGTATAAATTTCATATGAAATTATTAGTGGGAAACTAACATTTGAAGTAAAAGTAAAATTTTAATACAATAAATATTTCAATTTTATCTCGAAAAAGTTGGTTTCTTATCTTACAATGAGAATAATTTCATAAATAATCTATGCAAAAACTAGACACGAGAAATTAATATTTTCGATGTCAGATTTTTTAGAAATTAAATATTTTTCATATATCAAATGTTTCATAATTATTTATTTATTCAACATTTTCAAATAATATTTAAAAATATTTTTAAACATATTTATGATCAATCAAACAAATTTTCGTAATTTTTAAGAATTATAATTTTCAGGATTTATTCAGAACATTCATAATTCTCAGAAATTAAAAATTTTTATCTTGTATCAAATGTTTCTTAATAATACTCCTTTAGGTCATTTTAATAAAAAATAAATGATTTATGATTTGTTTCTTATAAAATGGATGGGAGGTGGTAATATCATTTAGATATATGCTTAGTGATTTTGATTTTTGTTTTTTTAAGGAATTGAAATGTGCCTATGTATTTTCCTTTGCTTATGCAGTATGATGTGTATGGGGACCTCTTAGGCCTTTTGGGGGCACATCCGGTGACCCCACTAGTGACATTGCACCACCTTGATGTGGTGCAACCAATATTCCCAATGTTGAACCGGGTACAATCTCTACAACATCTAATGAAATCTGTGAAGCAAGACTCGGGTAGCATAATGCAACAATCAATTTGCTATGACAAAAACAGATATTGGTCCATCTCTATTTCATGGGGCTTCGTGGTTCAAGTCACGAGGGGAGTTTTGTCCCCTAGAGAGTTGGAGATGCCAACACGAACCTTTCTAAATTGGTACAAAAGAGCTGATTACACTGCTTATTCATTCAACACAAGACCTGTGGCCAAAAACCCTTGTCAAAAAGCTTTCCTTTTCTATATGAACAGAACACGATATGATCCCATCAAGAAGCAAATTATTGGTACTTATTCTCGTTACAAATCTAAACCTCCTCACTGCACATGGAGAGTAGACTCACCAGAGGACCTTGATTCCATTATAGTTTCAAAAAGACCAGATCCTCTTCGTTGGCAAAGGGTAAGAATGTTTTCAAACTCACACTGATACGTGCATTTAACTTATAATCAGATATCAGCATTCTTTATTTATTTTCATTAAAGAATGTTAATGACAATTTCTCTTGTATTCTCTTTTAAACAATCCCTCATGATTTAGTAGTATCATTCATCAAAATTTATGACTTACAACTAGTAATAGAGTGTGTTCTCTACCATTTCTCATTAGGTTAATAGATAGTGTGCTTTACAAATTTATCGACCATTGAAATGGATATTCTTATTGACTAAACATACGCTTATTTTGCAGTCACCAAGGAGGGATTGTTGTAGAGTTCTACCAGCTCGTCGTAAGAACTCATCTATGTATATATGGGTGGGTAGTTGTCGAGAGGGAGAGATTAGTGAATTAAGTCTTTAAAGTGGAATTTAAATTCCAAACTCCAATCATAATTTGTAATATCTCGAGTATAGTTGCATTAGAAAATTCACGAAATACAAATTGAATTGTATGTTACCATTAAATCATATTATCATAACATGTGAAGTAGTTGCCATTTTCAATAAGTGATGAAAATATTTATTTTTTGTGTGTTTATAAAAATTAATCATTATTTTTTTACATTAGAAATTTTATATTAATATCATATTTACAAAAAAATTAATAATTATGCTTTTTTTTTCTTTTGACTCAATAAATATAATTTTCTTAAGAATTATTGAGAATTAAATATGATTTTAGTTTTTGACCTTTTGTCAATTTTTATTTTTAAGTTCTTTAAGGAAAGTTATTTGCTTTTAATCCTTGAAAATTTTCATTACAAACAATTTTTTTACACTAGGACCAAAATATTAATGAAAGAAAAAATTCAAGGACTGAAAATGAAAATTGACAAAACTTAGATACTGTTAATGATGGAATAACATATATAATATATTTGTTTTAAGGTCATTATATTTATAACTGGTGCAATATGATAACAGTATATATATCACAATATATTACTACTTTATTACTTATATTTATTATATAAATAAAATTTAGACTAAATTATATTTTTGGTTATTTATTTTATTTTTTATATTTATCTTATTATTTATCTATTAAAATGTTAATCTTATCTTTTTCATTTGAATTAATATGGTCTTTTTAAAATAATAATAATTTTAATTTTATAATATAATTTTGAATTAATTTTTAATTAATTTATGAGATAAAATTTGTAGTATTAGATTTAACTATACAAAAATTAATGTTTGAATCTAAAAGATTATAAATATAGTAAAAATTGTGTAAAAATGTGTCTTATAAATAATTAGAAAATAGTGTAAGATTATATTTTTAAAATTTTCAATTTTCTTTCAAACATATTATTATGCAATTTTCACCATGTTTATAATATTTTGGCTAAAAACCTATTTTGGTCCCTTATAATAATTGTTTGTTACAATTTAGTCTTACTTTTATTTTTTATCTCAATTTGGTCCCTAATAAATTAATTGGTTGCAATGTCGGACTTCCGTCCAAATTATTTAAACGGAGTTAACTGTTGGTCACGTGGATGCCAAATTTCATTAATGCATCTGGAACCAGAAAGACCTGTTCTGGTTGCACATGTTGTGTGTTAATTTTGAATTTAGAACAGGTCATTCCACATGCAAAATTAACATACTACGAGTACAGTAGAACGGGCCATTCTGAAATTAGAACGGGTCGTTCCAAAATGCCAACCACATACGTACTTCAACAAAAAGCTGCAATGTGATTCAAAAATTGAAAATGAAAATTCATAACATATCATAAATTCAAAGACAGAAATATGGTTCAGAGACTGAAGACAAAAATTCATAACATAACATAACATATACTAAAAAAGTTCAAAGAAATTACTGAGAAGGGAAATCATCTAGATAACGCTGAAGGTGTCAATAATACATCTTATCCACCATATAACATTGAATGGCTGATAGGATATCAACATTATCTACCTGTACATGTGGTTGTGTGGTGAAATGTTGGTCTTGTGTATCCTCTTCCTTTACTTCAGGTTATACCTCCTCAAGAATAGGTTGCTGTTGGGGTACATCGGTCAATGACTTCAAGGGAAAATACCATGTCGTTCATCCTTGACTGTATAGTGTCAATTTGGTAGTAAGTGGTTCACTCCAGTTTGACCAACAATGAAATAAAACTTGCTACCATTAGTGATACACTGCATTGTCCTTAATGATACACTGTCCCAAATGTTTAGCAATTGAAGTTATCAATCCCCATTGACAATATTACCAAATCAAGTGTTTGAAATGCTTTGTACCTTGGGTCTTTTTCCTTGCATGATTCACAACCGTGAACTATAATCATCGACTGTTTGTGTTTGGCATTCTGGAACCAGAACGGCCCGTTCTGGTTGCACTATTGGTGTGTTAATTTTGCACCTGGAACGGGCCGTTCTGGTTCCAGATGCATTAATGAAATTTGGCATTCACTTATGCATCTACGTGGCATCCACGTGGCTAACAGTTAACTCCGTTTAAATAATTTGGATGGAAGTCCGACATGCCAACCAATTAATTTATTAGGGATCAAATTGAGACTAAAAATAAAAGTGAGACTAAATTGAAACAAACAATTATTATAAGAGACCAAAATAAGTTTTTAGCCTAATATTTTTTATTTGAACTTTAGTTGTGTCTATAACTTATTATTTAACTTATACAAGAATTTATCGAAAAATACTCATGTTTTAATTATGTCACCAATGAAAATAAATATTATTTTTTAATTATTTATTTATTTTTTTAATAAAAAATTAGTTTATATTTGTTTTCATCACTCTTTCAAAGGTTTTCATTTCTCCATTTACAAGTTTTTTCTCTTTATATTTTTTTCTTCGCCTCCAAATTTTTTTCTATCTCTTCCCCTCAAAATTCAAAATTTCTTATTATTAAAAACCCTCCTAACTTTTTTTTTTCTTCCAAAAGTATGTAACATCTTTTTTCTATTGTGGGTTTCACTTACCGGTTTAAGTCTTTTGATTTTTATTAATCACATAATTTTCATTACAAAATGAAAATTCAAATACTCAAGTCATTTTTTTTATTTTTTTTATTTTTAATTATAATTTTATAAAATATATAGAATTGGATTTTAATTTTTAAAATTGATGGTTCTTAATTTTTTAATTATGGTTATATATATATATATATTTGATTTCTCATATTTTATTATTAATTTCATTTTTTATAAACTAAAATTAGGTGAATACTAACTAATAATTTTTTTATTTTTAAAATTATTGTGATATATAATATCAATTTTAAAAATTATATAATTACTTTTTAATTTTTTTTATTTATAGTCCATATTTAATTTGTAATTTTTAAAATTTTTAAAATAAGAAAATATCTCATAAGTGTTCAAATAATAATACTTTCAAATACTTTGAAATTGTATATATAAGTATTTATCAACATGTATATTTAAATACAAAAACTTATTGAATTTTAAGTACTTATAACATAAGTTCTTATTACATAAGAACTTATGAAATAAGATCTTAATTATTTTTTTTTTCAAAAATGCTCTTAGCTAGTGATGACTAACTTAAGATATTTTCCCTTGTAAGAAAAACAACTTGGGATATCAACCTTGACTTGTAGACAAGAGTCCTAAAGTATAAGTGGTATTATAATCATAACGACCCGTCTGGTCGTCATACTGTAGAACAACAACCCACATTACTAGAATATACATACATAAAAAAATATATACATATATCCAGCCCTAAGGCTCAACGAGTCAAAGTATATACAATACTACCAAATTCCTACTCCAAGGTAGCTTACACAAAAGATCAGCTCCAGTCACCATCTGTAATACTACTGCTACTCTCCAACCTATCCCTGCTCTGCTCCCATACATAATATGATCATAGTATTCCAAACCACAAGGAAACACGCAAGGGTAAGTTAGTGAAATAAATCAACATATATATATATATATATATATA